GGGATAACACATGTCTCCTTATTGCTAGGAAAATTGCACAAATTACACATGCATATTTTCCCCCAAATAAGGGATAAAAGCGCATGACTGGGGTTGTGTCGCACTGAGAAAATTTTGATCAACCCAGGAAATGTGTATATAACTTAACTGCATATATATATGTGTGTAGCCTTTTTTGCATACACATATGTGCATGCGGGTCATCGCCTCGTTCTCGTAAGAACTGTCGAAGATGCCTGTGCTCATGGCCTGACTGCAGTGGTTACATGAGCATATGTGATCATTTAAAATATTTCAGCCCATTCCGAATTGGCTCAAAGTTCGACCGTTTTTGGAAAACAGGTTTTGCACGGATAGGCATTCCTGCGTTAATGGAAGCACTCACTCATAGCGGTAAAGCCCGTGCGTGTGTGCATCAGTGTAGTGACGTATGAATATTTCCATATTCAAGCGAAAAGTGGAATGCGTAATACGCATAGCGAAAGTTCCACGTTGATAAGAAACGCATAAGGTGGGGGGAGGAAGAAAAGGTACATCCCTTTGAGCCACAGTTAAGAAGCATATGTTCAAGTCCAGGAAGACAGGACCGCATATGAACAAAAATAAAGAAAAAGGAAGACATTTTTTTATTAGAATAATTGTGGCATCCCTCTTTTTTTCACCACAAAAGTATTTATCTCCTTTTTATATGATTGCACAACTATGTATATGCAGAATTCCTCGTCGAATAATCTCTTTGGATCATTTAACAATCAAGGGAACAATGCAAATAAGGGGATCTTTGGAAATGCAAATGTCCAATCCAACCTATCGAACACGGATCACTCGTCCATTTTTGGAGTTTCGAAAACCCCTCAATCGAACAATGCGCTGATGAATAAGAATATGTTTAATATGAACACGAGCTCCAGTGGCTTAAGTGGAAATAAAGGGATGTACGACAATATGAATAGTCAGTCCACCTTAGGTAACAAAAATATATTTGGGGGGTCAAGTGTAGGAAATAGTGCCAATCAAGGAAATATGGGAGGAAATAATTTATTTATGAATTCAAGTAATCAGAATAGCTTAGGCATGAAGAATATTTTTGGGGGCACAACCAGTTTAAATGCTCCAGGAACGAACTTATCCAATAAAGGGATTTTTGGAGGCATGCAACAGAATAATCAAAGCTCTGCTCAATCGTCAAGTAACCTTTTTGGCAATTTATCGTCTAATCAAACTAGCTCCGGAAATATGTTTGGAAATTTGTCCTCGGCTAATCAAAGTAAAGGAAATAGTTTATTTGGCACATCGCCTCAGTCTAATCAAACACCAGGAAGTAACATGTTTGGAAATGCATCCTCCATGGGACAAAATAAGGGTGGTGGGTTGTTTGGAGCGTTGCAATCATCTAATCAGGCTAGTAGCGGTAGCAGCATGTTTGGAAGTGCTACTGGTGGGATGAGTCAAAATAAGGGAAGCAGCACGCTCTTCGGAGGGATGTCCGGCAGCACGCCGACGAACGCTGCCTCTGGAAATCTCTTTGGAAATGCATCTTCCATGAACCAAAACAAGCCAACTGGTGGAGTTTTTGGAGCGTTGCAATCGCCCAGCCAAAGCACAACAGGTAGCAGCAACATGTTTGGTAGCTTGGGAGCCAGTCAAGCAAAGCCAGCCACGGGTGGTAACCTGTTTGGAGGAATGCCCTCAACACCCGGGACGAGTGCAACTACTGGGACGGGTAGTAACCTCTTCGGGAGCACAATGCAGGGTAGCCAAAATAAAACCGGCAGTAACATTTTTGGCGCATTATCAGGAGGCACACAAGCTGCAAGTAGCAGTAGCCTTTTCGGCGCAACAACTGCGCCAAGTACCAGTATGGGAGGTAATAATGTGTTTTCATCTTCCATGACAACGCCAACGAGCCAAAATAAATTTAATAATATATTTGGACAGGTTGCAACAGCTGGTCAAAGTGCATCTGTCAATACTGCTGCCACTGGAGTTTCCTCCACTCCAGGATTAGGAGGCGCAACGCAGAGTGGTAGCACGAGTAATATGTTTGGAAATGTATCAACAGGTACGAATTTGGGTGGAGTGGGTGACAGCAAGAATATATTTGGAACATCATCTGGTTTTTCTTTGGGCGCGGGGACTACCGGTGCAAGTGCCACCGCCGGAGTTGGAGGCGTGGGTACCGGGTTAAGCACAGGAGGAGTTGGATTAGGTATGGGATCCAATTTAGGAACGACCATGGGTACAAGTGTGGGCACCAGCATGGGTTCAAACTTGGGTTCCAATTTGACATCAAATGTGAACGCGAATTTAAACTTGGGCGCAGGTTCCGGCACCGGTGCTAGTGCCAGCGGATCGAGCATATTTGGAGGTTTAGGCGGATTAAACTCCAATTTGGGTGGCAGCACAATGATAGGTAGTAGCGGTTTGGGTCAGAAAATAGGCACAAATGAAGCAGGTGCAGCATCAACCAATATATTCACAGGAAATAAAAGTATGGGGGATACGAACAGTACGTTGCTGAGCACGCAGAATAATGTGCTGCTAGGCGACAAGGGAAAGGTAAACAATTTCATGACACAAGAATTTAAAAGTGATCAAAAGGATGAATTAGCTGGTGGCAAAGACAACTTGGACAAGTCGGTAGAAGAGTTAACGATTATAAAAAAGCAGGAAGGCATTTTCGATCAGGCATATGAAGAGGATGAGGTGCTTAGCGAAAAGGAATCAGAAGGAACCTTTTACAATTATATTAATTTAATTATAAATGATAATATAAATGACATACAGAAGACAACGTTTTCTTTATTGAATGATCATGATTCGTTAATGTGGGATAATTTTAAAAGTAATATATTTAAAAATTTTGTGGATTATTTAGTGAATTTTAAGCAGAAAAAAAATCAAAAGGTTGTTAAGAGCAATGTGTTAGATCTGGATCAACATGAGTTTCAAATATTAATTTGGTTATACAATGTGAACGCATACAAGGTTGATTTTATTCCCTTTAAGAGTTTTTACTACTTATTGTTAAGTGACACGAATTTAAATTACTCCAAAATTTTTATCGGAAATGTAGACAAGAATTTATTTCCTGGAAGCTTTGTTGAAGTGAATGACCATTACTACATGAACTCGAAGAATCACTTCTTCAAATCGCAGATAAGTAAGTACCAGGAGAATGACGCAGTGTCAAGTCGGGATAGGAGGAGAGGCCAGAAAAGAGGGACAAACGCCACAAATATAAACGCCTTAGATGTGGATTCCATTTATAAGCAAGTTTTGAAAGACATACTAAATAGTTTACTAAATGTGAAGTTGTCCATAACGAAGGAAAATATAAAAAGGAGGGAAAAGGAGGACTATTACGAAAACGGGGATAACAGCAACAATAATGGTAATAATATCAGCGGCAAGGATAAGTTGCATTCAGGCTCCAATTATACATATGAGAATTTACTGTTAAATTATTTGTTCGGAACGCTCCAACATTTGCATGACAAGTTTTACAAAATCGAAATAAGCAACTATGTTGCTAAGGATTTAAATCAGATTGATGAATATTTTGTGGACTCCAAATCGAACGCCATATTTTCCTACTGCTATGACAATTTTTATAAGAATGAAATGGACAAGGAAAATTGCACTATTCATTTTTTTTTCTACCTGGTTAACATAATGTTTCGTTGCGGAAATTACTTGGGGCTAATCCAGATAATTAAGGGGGACGAATTTGTGAAAAATTTAAGCGTTGACAAGTACCTGTACGACTTTGTAATATTGCTGATAAGAATTTTATTTTTAATTTACAATAAAAGTAACGAGATAAGCATCTTCGAGAATATGAAGGTGGATTTTGACTGCACAGATATTTTTAAAAAAAAAATTAACATGTCTGTGTTGATTAATTTTTTCCACTCCATTATTTACCTCTGCGTTAACAACATTTATGCTTACGATTTACTGTGTGTGTTGTTTTCTGACATTTTTTACAAAAAGGGGGCCATGTATACCAATCGGGACAAAAAAATGGAGATGAAAAATATTTTTTATTACACGGAGGGGAGGAGCCCTAGTCATGAGAACAATCATGACGACGATGGTGATGACAATTTTGATCATGATGATCATCGTCATGACAGTCGTATCAGGGGGAGTAGGAATGACTACATCAGAGACCGTGGTCATTATAAGGGCAGAGGGTATGATGGGGACGAGGGTACAGGCTTAGGGAAGGATTCCATGAGGGGAAGACGGTCACAACAAAGATCCAAAAGTCAATACAGTGACGACTACTACGGCGATTATAGCGACCGCCCTTATGATGATCAGTACGACGACTACTATGGTGAGCGGTACGTGGGTACCCCAAGGGACGGCGGTCGAGGTAGTAGGCATCATCTTAGTAACCATCGCAACGGAGGGAGAGGACACCCCAACGATGACCTAATGGATGATGAACGGAGAAATACGAGACGTAGCAGTCGCAGCAGGGGCGATGCTAATAGTAACAAGAACAACCACTCGATGAGGGGCTACTTCAGTAGCGATGAGAATAGCAACAGCGGAAGAGCAAGGAAAGGGAAAAAAGACAAGAATAAAACCTTCTTGTTTGACATGTTTACAAATATGCTTCAGAAGCCGAAGAAATCCCAAGAGGATGAATTTGGAAACATTGAAATAAATGAAGAGATGGAGGACAGAATGAACAGAGATTCGGAACACATAAGTTACATCGAGTCTTTGGGTATCACCAACAGGTATGGCTATAATTTTGAGTACTGCAATATTGAGACGAGTATATGGCTCGAATTGACTTTGTTTCTTTCGAAGAACTTTGATCTGTATGGAAGTAAATTTCAAGAAAATTTTGACATTATGGATACTAACTTAAGTTTTTACAATTACGATGACGATAATAATGCATTTTTAAATGACACAAAATATAGAAGGGAAAAAATAAACAGCAAAATTGAAAAGTTATTCATTTGCATATCTCACTGTATTGTCAACGAAAATAAAGAATTTTTTGCCATTTGTTCAAAGCTAAAGGTGGATGAAGTCATAAATAATTTTATTGTGGTGGATGGGAAGATAGCAGAAAAGGTTAAGGGCAACATATCAAAAGTTTTAAAAAATAATTTCGTGCTTTACATTAAGCTATTTTACTACCTGTTGTTGGTGGGAAATATTTACACGACCGTTGCGTTTTTATCGTGTATATCGAACAATGTGCAGAGGATCCTGCTAGTGCTGACCATATTTTTGCACAAGAATAATATCTTCGAGAATGAGCAGTTGAATAATATAAAATTAAAGACGTTACAATTTTTGAAGTTAAAAAATGAGAGCGACTCATTTTTGGATCGTTCCATGAATGATATTAATGACGAAGTTTCATCTGCAGCCGCAGCAGTAGCAGCAGCAGCGGTGGAAGCGACAGAAATTGTGGCTACGTCTGTAGCAGACAGAATGAATTTAATTAACCTGAGCTTGAATAGTAGTGATCTGCCCTATGACCATTTTGTACTTCGAAATAATAACATAAATATTTTGTTAAAAATAACATATTTGCTTAATTTGAAGACCAGCTTAAGTATAAAACTTTTGAAGAGCATTGTGCAGGAAAATCAAGATATACTTTTGCACGAGAGTGTAATTGGGCATATAAATAACGACGGGAATATCGTTTATGGCAAATTACATGACTTTCTGTTTTTATTTAAGAATAAAGTAAAAATGAGAAAGGACATAAAATGCTACTTCTTAATGTATTACGTTTTGTACAAGAAGAAACTTTTTCATAATAGTAAATTATGTAAACATAAAAATGAGAATGACGAAGAGTATCATTACAAGTGCAGAAATTTTAAGTATGTGCAAAGCAAGAATATTAACACGTTGAATAGGATATCCTTGGACAATTCCATCATCAGTGTTCATTGCTCAATTTTGTACAAGATTTCTCAGTTTTATGCCATTCTGGCTTATTTTGCCAACCAGCGCAAGAACTACATCATTTCCTTCATCTGCTACTACATCTTGAAGGATGAACAGAGCGCTATAAACTCCTTGATTAGGATTTACAACGACGAGCTGATATACTACTACCACAACAACGAGCGGGAGTACGTCCACATCCGCAAGTGCGCCTTCCGCTTTTATCACTTGGCTAAGGTAGGGAAGGAAGAAACAAGGATAGCCGTCGGGATATCTATCGCGATGCATTGATCGCGGTAGCGATTGCAGTAGCGATCTTCTATGCATACATTTTTATGCCCTTCTTCCTCTTCCCCCCCACCTGCAGAACATGTGGCCCTCAAACGTCAAGCTGGAATCAATTGAAAACAAGTCGTACCTAATCCTCAGCATTCTGTTCATGAAGAGAAAGATGTTCGAAGAGGCCTTTATAATCTTTTCATCTAGCCTGATTCCAGACAACATGCTGGAGAAGCTATCCACGGCGGATTACTACAATATTGATTTGTCCTCCAACTTTTTGATGACGCTGCGGGAGCTGTGTCGACAGAACTATCAGGTAAGGGTGGAAGGAAGTTTTTCCTCCGAGCGAGTGTATCATTGAGTGCAATGTTTATGTGTAGAAAACGGGGTTGTGCGATTTGTGCATTTACTCACCACCAAAATGTGTTCCGCACAACTGTACATAATTCCGCCTAACGCCTCCCTCCCCCCGTCTTACTTGCAGATAAACGAACTGGTAAGACAGACCACCCTTCACGCCGTTGTTAAATTTTTACTGCCCATCAAGGACAAGTTGGATGCACAAGTTGTGGAGAGCATCAACTATTTGAGCACATTAAGCTTTTAAAATGAAAAACAGGCACGTTTGTTTTGTTTCTTTTTTTTTTTTTTTTTGGGCATGTACAAAATTGTATTTAATTTTTTTTCTTTTTTTTTTTTCGACTAGCCATTACATGGTCGCATACTCCAGTATTTGGCTTGGTAAAAGAAAAGGAGTATTCGCACTAAGTATATTTATGTGTGAACATATGCCTGTGTGCGAGTGGGTTGAAAGGTCACCATAAAGGGTTGACAGACACCTTTGCACATGTTACTGTGCACAGTACCTTGGTACACCTAGCCAACCAGCGCAACCCTTTGCAATTTCCTTTCGTACCAAATTGTTTAATAACCCACGTGTGTTATCCTCTTCATGGATAAGTGCCTTTTTTCATTTTTAAAAACAATGAAAAGATATAATACCCAAAATTAATGTTAATATAATCTTATCACGAAAAGATGAGTTCATTTTTAAGGAACGAAATAAAGACTCCGCCTCTATTGTTAATTTTTCCCTTGAGAAAACATCATTGGGGATGAATGGGAACAACCCACCGAGGTGTACAGATTATGAGCAAAGGTAAACATGCGAGTGCCCCGGTTTTGTGAAATAAAATAAGGAAAATTATGCTAGTGGAGAAAGGAGGTTAATGTGAGTTTTCTTAAATCTGCTTTCTATAAAATGGAAAGGAATATAACGTGCAATTTTACACGACGTGTAGGCAGAGGTGGGGTGTGGAAAAAGTACAAAAAAAAAAAAAAAAAAAAAAAAAAAAAATGCAATAGCATGATGTGCATACAAGTGTGGGGGCACACGGGGCATAAGGGCGCATACGATTAAGTTGTACATTTATAAGTGTTCAGTATCAACTCCATAATCCTTTTCATATGCTATACATGTACAATGCTGTTCATGTTGTTTTGAATGGTTTAGAGAGCATTTTTGCGTGAATTTTTTTTTTTTTTCGAGTTTCCTCACTCCTTTTCTGTTGGCACAACTCTCGTTTAATCCCACATGAAAAAGAGTAACAAAATGGTGTTTTAGGAAGTTTTTTTTTCGTTTTTGCGTTGCGTACCTGCTTGCGTAAGTGAGCCCCACGTTTCGCACAGTTTTCACATTTTCACATTTGCATTCTTCCCCATTTGTTTACCTTCGCACATTTGGGCGTATAACCCTTGTGGGCACATTTTCCCCGTATTCAAAACATCCTGGAAAATAAAAGCTTGTATACATGCCAGCGTGAAGGGAAGAGGGAAGCCTTGAGTCACGGCATGTTCGGCGTGTAAACTTTGAAGGGGCCGCTGCCTTTCCCCCTCTCCGATACAGCTTTTGCTACGGCCTTTGCTACCTCCTGCACTTCCACCAGTGCTGCTTTCCCTTTTTTTTTGCGCCCAGTGCGACCCCCGACCGATCCCCCTCTCCTACTATGCCACTGGAACGAAGCAGAAATGATTAAGATGATGAAAGTAATAGGTTTATGCAAACGGGAACAGCTCCTGCGCACTAGTGGTAAATTCGGAGTTGCATTGTTAGGCAAGAGGTACAGCACAGCGAAGACCAACAACGTCACAGCTGTTGATAACAAGTACATTTACAATGTGTATAAATTGGATAACACATATTACAACAACTTAAAGGTTATAAACAGCTACGATGAATTTCATGATTTGGTTGTAAAAAATGAGTACTTTAAGGATTACTCCAAATTACAAAACAAGTTTAATAATGAAGAAATATTAGAGCATAATGGAGAAGATTCAGGGGACGGATTCAAACCCTCCATGGAACAAAGAAAGGACGCAATGAGAACCAATTTCGGAAAAATGAAGGAGGAAAGTGAATGCACAAATGTGATTACGTCCACCGATTTACAGGTCTTATATTTTGGTAGCTATGAAAATAACATTAGTGTTCTTTTATTTGAGAAATTTAAAAGTATTATTGAAAAGAATAAAAAGTTACAATTTTTTTTCCTAGATGTTAATGTGTGTCCACAGTGTTCTTACAATTGCGATGTCACCTATGTGCCTTGCGTTTGTTTAATATATAAAAATCATTTGTTTAGAAAAAAATTAGAGATCAATTATGAAAATCCCATTGATGATAAGTACCTGGACGAGTACTTAAGTACTGTACAGAAGAGCATAGATTCGTTTCACAAGTACAACAATAAGTTTATTTACAAGTTGAAGAAGCAGAGCAATTACCTAAACACGAAATATATAGATGTGGATAATCAGAACATCCACAAGGAGAACTGGAACACATTCTAGCGGGGTTCACTGTAGCGCTGTGCAAAGCTATGCATCTGCACTGCCTACGTATGTGTATGCGTTCTAACATGTGCGCCACCTCCAACACAAACACACCTGTGCGGATAACGCCCCGTTGCAAAGTAGTTCCTGCCCCTTTGTGGCTATTTTTTTTTTTTTTTTTTTTTTTTTTTTTTTGCGAAATGCCTTCCATTTCGTTACGACTTGTTCTTAACCTAGGTTCACCAGGCTGCCTCGATTTTTCTTTTCACTACACAAGTTATCGTGGTTGAATTTGCACAAACCGCATAAAGTGCTTTTTTCGTCGAACTGAGGTTTGTCCCCTTGTGAAACGAAACGTGCAACAGTGCACCACATTGTTATAAGTTACGCTTGTAGAATGATGAAAATGTTTGCGCATATTTATATGCATATGTACATGCACATATATACAATACATATAACGCTTTATAAGAATTTTTTTTTCTAAACAAAACGTCCATTCTAGTTATCTCAACAGTGACGCACATACCAATTAGTGCACAACTAAAAAGTTGTTTTTCAAAATTTGCAATTCTATTGTGAAAGGGTAATGCGTGCAAATAAAAATGAAAAACAAATACAGATAAAAAATGTGCTATAAAATATTTCCGAATAACGTTGTGGATGCGTATAATTCTTAAGTATTTTTACATAATTTTTAAGTATGCCTATGTTGCTGGGACTTTTGTTCACTTCGAAAAGAACACACTTCCGTTTTTTTAGCACCTTGGTAAGCTACGTTTTTTCGCTTTCTCTTGAAAGTGTGTTATTCATTCTTGAATCTACGGCGCAAGTTTATTTTTAGCTCGCCTTTGTATTCGAAGCTGTTTTTATTTTAAGCTGTTTTTAGTTTAAGCTGTTTTTAGTTTAAGCTGTTTTTATTCCAAGCTGTTTGTGTTTGAAGCTGTTTGTGTTTGAAGCTGTTTGTGTTCGAAGCTGTTCGTGTTCGAAGCTGTTCGTGTTCGAAGCTGTTCGTGTTCGAAGC